ATTGTAACATATATCTGTTCGTATTTTAACATTGGTCGCATGATTAGCTCATTGGACTGGTGACCAACTATCAAGCTGAGGTGAAATGGTACCATGATGGTTATGTGCCAATATTTGAGGAGTATATGAGCGTCGCAATGAAGACGTCTACCTTTGATCCCTTAATAACAATATCATTCATAGGAATGGGAAAAATTGCAGGGATAGAAACATTCGAATGGCAGCGAAACGATCCCAAAATTATGCAGGCTTTAAACGTTATTGGTCGTCTCATGGATGACATAGTATCACATAAGGTAGTCATTTAATAAAAAGATTTATTTGAATTTGTCTTGTACAGAATTTAGCAATTATTTTGGTGGCTCATTCTAATTGAAGTTCGAGTAATTGAGAGAGCATGCACCTTCCAGCGTTGAATGCTACATGAAGCAACACAACCTTTCAGAGCAACTTACGCTTAAAGCATTTGAGAAACTGCTGGAGGATGCATGGAAGGATGTAAATGAAGAATGCATGAGACCAACATGTATCCCAAGAGATCTGCTCTTACGACATTTGAACTTCGCTCGAGCATCATATTTGTTTTACAAACATGGAGATGGATACACACATCCGGAATATGTGAAAGATGACATCCGTGCTTTGTTCGTTGATCCAATACTTATTTAAAGACTATCATTTCCTACTTTCTTGTGCTCGGTCATGAATATTTAAGTGTGTTTAAATTATCTTATTCGATGTGTTCTATATAATACCAACTAGTGTGGTACTAGAATAAATTGGACGTAGGATCCATTTATGTTCTTGAAAGCATGACGAGAGTTGTTTTCGTGTCCTTTTTTGGTTCGGTTATTTGTACCCCACCTGTTGAGTACTCTTTTCCCCATCTAGGTTTAGGGGGTTTTTAATGAGGCTCTCGGTTTGAGAGATTTTAATCTCTAAGTTATAATAAAAATTACATATTGCTGAGAAAAAGGGGAAAAAACACATTCGTTTCAACCCTAGAAACTGATAAAACCATGGAAGTTGCCGGCAACCAAGACAGAGCCTCGCCTCCATCGAAGTCCTCAAAATTCTGTGTACCAAAAGCTTTAAAATTTTGGCTTCCATCGTAAATATTAAAATATGGTTGAGAGTGAGTGCATACAAGTTAACAAAAAATTACACAGTTGAACTGAATTTACTCTCTAATCAAAATCTATAAACATAAATTGTTTAAACGAATTATACTAAATCGTGAATCAATGTTTAATCTAATAAAATATGTCTAAATATCAATTATGAGATGATTGAAATGACATATTTATTTAAGAAGTTGTTTAATAATATGATCTTCTTATCTAAAGCTGAGCTATCTAACTTTGAGACATCTTTTAATTATGGGATATAGATTTTTGCTCATGGATTAGGTGATGAACTGACTACGTTAATTAAATGATAAGCTAAAAAAATAGGAAAAAATGGTTAAAAAATGAGAATTAGACAAACACACTCCATTATTAGGGGAAAAAAGATATAAAAAAACAATAGACATGTTTAAGTTTCATGTATTGGGTTTGGATTAATAACTCTTTAAAAAAATGGCAATGAAGGAAGATGCGGAAAAATAAATAAATAAACAAGGGAAAAGATTGCATTGTACAAGTTTTCACTATTAGTAAAAATTTGGAAGCTGTTCCTAAAACCACACAAAAGATAGTTTGGCTTTAAACTTTTGGGTTAATTATTCTTTCATTAAATATTTTGCTATTGAAGACACATAAGTAATTAGGGGCGAGCAAAATTTAAATCAACTCGAAAAATTGATTTTATTTGCATTAAACAGGCGTGATGGTGATCTTGTTGGCGTTTTCTGTTTTCCTCTTGTTTGCGTCCTGTACTAGCAGCTGTACTAGCTCAGGCGATGGTCGTATATTTAGTAGTGTTGGCTGGTCCCTTGTTTTTGTGGTGTTAAGAGCCTCTTTAGTCTATTCGTAATTATGTTTCGTCTTGGGCGGAAGTAATCAAATGTGATTGGAAGAAGCTCCCAACAATTTATCTTGGCCTTTTGCTCAATTGAGGAAATTTCACCTCTAGAAGCTTATTGTGGACAAATTTCTGTGTCGTCTTGCCGGATGAAAAGGAAAACTATTATCATATGGGGTCGACTAACATTGATAAAATTTGTTTTCGTAAATTTGTGTGGTCTCTAAGTTGAATAGCATCATATCGAACTTTCTATGGGGCTCGAACAGTGACAGACCCATTCATTGGGTGAAGTGGGAGAGTTTATGTAAGCCAAAGCTACATGGTGGCGTGGGTATTATCAACATTCACCTTAAGAATCGTGTCCTTCTTAACAAGTGGATTTGGAGGTTTGGTCGTGAACCTGACAGCTTGTAGAGATAAGTGGTTGTGGCAAAGCATGGTTACGCGCTTGATTCATTGATTCCTACCCTACTACTGGCTTCGAATAAAATGTCGTGGGTGTGAAGGGGTATTATGCAGCCCTTGAATAAGGAGGATGATATGTTTAAGAAGGACATTTGAGTCTCTCTAGGGGAGATGAATTCCATTGATTTTTGGACTAGCGTCCTTTCATTAGATGTGGCTTTTCCTAGGATATATGGCCTAGAGATCAGGAAATCCAGAATGGTATCGGAGTTCAGCTACAGGACTAATGGTAAGGGGAAGTAGAACATGGAGAGACCTATTTTCTTGGGAAATCCACTCTTAGGATGACTTTTTACAAACTTTTAATGTAGCGGCACAAGGATGCCTTGAGGCAGATAGATTATATTGGTTGGGATCTTTGGATGGGTTGTATACTCCGGGAAGATTTTGCTCTATTATAGCAATTGATGTGTCGGAGTGTGATAATCTTTGGAAGCTTGTGTGGGCCAATCTAGCTCCACTGAAAGTAGAGTTCCTTACGGGGAGAGCTGTCTCACAAAGGCTGTTGGTTCTTGTGAAATTAGAAAAAAGAGGCATATGGAATTTGGGTTCTTGCAGCTGTGTTCTATGCCTTAAGGAACAGGAGATGGTGAACCATCTATTTTGTCAATGTGAGGTAGTTTGTGGAGCATGGAAAAGATGATTCTCTAACTGACATTTTCATGTTGTGTGTCAAGGAGAAGTTCGAGTCTTTTTTTCATATTTGGTTGACCATCCAATCAACAAATCAAGTAAAATGATCAATAATTTAGCTTTTTTGGTTTCATTTGGTATATTTGGTCATGCATGAACGATGTTATGTCCAATAAGAGCGGATGTAACGAAGATCATTTATATGAGTCGAGGATTGGTTGTGGGAGTAATTGGAACTGGCCTGACTTGTGCTATTCTTCTAGTGATTTTAGAAGGGTTACAAATGCTTTTATCTCTGTAAGAAGATAATCTAATACTGTTTAATAATTTTACTGTTCTCTTGGCGTCGTATGTTGATATATCTGGGTGGTTTGGGTGCTTTAGTAAAACTGATTTCTGCTATTCTGCTGTGAAGTATATGTGCTTGCTTTGGTTTGTATATTCCTGAGGGGCTTTGCTCTTGTGGTAGTGAGCATCAGGAGATGTTCGATGTTCTATCTTGCCTGTTGCATAGCTTGATGGTGTAGTTGATGTTCGGCGCATCACCTGACGTGGGGATCTAAAATCGGATAATCGTTCAGGTTTTAGTCAGATCCTGTCAGGTCAGGTAAAATCGGATATAGGTCATGTCAGGTCAATTTGATGGTTCAACTCAGATCAAATCGGATCCAGGTTAAATCAGTTTGGGTCATTTTTAGGTTGATTTGACACCAGATTCAGTTCGGGTTCAGGTCGGGTTAATTTCAGTGTGGTTCGATGTTAGTTCATGTCTGGAGCAGTTAAACACCAAGTTAATTCAGGTTCAGATAGACTTCAGTCGGATCTCGTTCAGATTGGTTCACATCATTGACAGATAAAATTCAGGTCAAATCTTGATCAAATACATATTGAGTTCAAGTCGAGTCATTTTTTTATTTTTGAATTAATTATTTTTTGCCTTTCATGAGCGTTGAATTGTAATTTGTAATTGTATATGATTTAGAGTAAATTCTAAAAATATAAATAATGATGGTTCACTTTTTATAAAAAATATATATTTAAGGACTAAATTGAAAAAACATGAAATTATAAATAAAAATTTAAATAAATTAAACAACGCGCATTGATGAGGGATCGGATCGAAATAATTTTAAAATGTGAGATTTAAATTAATATAAAAATGACTAAATTATACCCATTTAAAAAATATATGGGCCAAATATAAAAATATAAATAAGAAGTAAGCCAATTATAAAAATATAAATAAGAAATAAGAATGGGCCAAATTCATATGCAAATATAAATTTAAGGATTAAATTGAATAAATATAAAAGTAAACGAATTAAAATTTAAATAAATTAAAGAACACAAAAGGATGTAATCGAAATAATTGTAAAATATGAAGAAAATATAGTAAATTACATTCATTTCAAAAGTTAAAAAATTAAAACAATTATAATATATATAAACTACATAGTTTATTAATATAAACTATATATGAACTATATATAAACTATATAGTTTATATTTACATACAATGTATAAACTAATTATATACTAATTGTATATTATATATACTATATATATAAACCATATACACTATATAATTTATTAATGAACTATATATAAACAATATAAAGTATATATGAACTATATATAAACTATATAGTTTATTACTATAAATTATGTAAACTATTTATATAAACTATATATATAATCTAAATAGATAAATTATATGTATAAATTATATATATAAACTATATAAACTATAAACTATATGTATAAACTATATGAACAAATATATATGAACTATATATTATATATATTATTAATATATATATATATATTCATTAATTTTTATATCTATTATGTTTATTTAATTAATTTTTCGATATGTTTATTAATGTTTTTGTTTGTTGTACGGTGCCTTACTAGTTACAATAAGCATCATTATAAATGCTTCTTGCTGTTTTTTTCCTGATTCTACTTGATATTGTTTATGTTATTAAATGTTTGTTGAATGTTTGATTCTGTAAGGGTTTGGTAAAGTCGGAAATGTTTGATACTATTGGCCATTGTATTTCCTTTGGTTGTATCACTAATTGCATGCTTGTTTAATGTAGAAATGGTGCCTGCTGCCTATTGTTGCCAGTTGGTTGCCTGCTGCCTATTGTTGCCAGTTGGTTGTTGCTGCATGCTGCCTGTTGTTGCCTTCTAAATTATTGTTGGTTTGAGTTAAATAAATTGTTGTAACTTGTAAATTCTTTTCTAAATAGTTATTCATGTTAAATTATGTTGGTGACATTTTGACTTTTAAAGTTGAAAAGTTGCCCGTAATTTAACAATATTGGCAACATTTAGATATTTTGATACAAAAACTCGATGAAGAAATTTCTGGTAGCAAAGTAAGACTTTTAACCTTATAAAACTTTTATTTGAAAATCTGAGAGCTTAAATTTTAACTTTGTTTTTATTCATTTTATTGTATTGAACTGTCATATATTTTATGTTATTCAAACTTTCAATCAAATGTTACTCATATTTTCAATATCAATTAAATTCATATTTTATATTATGTTATATATGTATGTTATAATTTTTAGATAAATTTTCTTTACATTATTAATTAATTATTACATAAAACATAAATTAAACTATATAGTTTACATTTAAATTAATTTTATTAATCATGTTCAATGCCAATAAATTACTTAATAAAATAAAATTAATGATTATATTGAAGATTTATAACATAAGAATCATAATTAAAGAATTATAATTAATATAATAAGTCAATTTATGAATTTAATTATAATAATTAATATTTTATTATAACATATAAAAATTAATCATATTAATTAGCTTGATTTACTTTAAACTCAAAATCTCACAACTTCATTAAAATCTTATAATTTCATCAACGGTAATATATAAGTCAGGTAAATATCATATCAGTTCAATAACAAGTCAGATCATTTACAGGTTGAGTCAATTATAGGTCAGATTCATAACAGGTCAGGTTGAAAACAGGTCGGATAATACCATTTATTTACCAGTTAGTCTCGGGTTCGAGTTCATATCAGTCGGATGCAAGTCGAGTTCGGTTATCATATTTTCAATTCAATTCGAGTTCAGGTCGTTCTCAAATAGGGTACAGGTCGGGTTCAGATCTACAATTTCAGGTCCAACTCGGGTTCAAGTCAACACCAGTTTCGACACGTATCGGTTTCTGATCGCCACAACTCATGTCAAAAATAGTTTTAACTCGAGTTGATTTCAGTTGTTTTACAGGCCGGGTCAGCTTTTTACATCCCTAACCTAATGCTAGTTTCTGAAAAGTTGGGTTTGATGAATTGTTTGGTTCTCGGTGCGTTCGACCCCGAGTGTGGTATTAATCAAGGCCACACCAGCTTAGGTATCCTCTCGTCTTTGGACATTGGTTGCTATTCTATTTGGTTGGTTTCTTGAGGATTTTGTGGGCTGGCTGGTGATTTTGTATGGGTTCAATGTTGTAAGTGTATTGCTCACGTTCGGTTTTTGTCATTGGAGTGTGGACACACTTTTTCCTCTACATAGGTTTCAGGAGATTTTTTAAAGAGACCCCGATCGATTTGATGTTGTTTTGTATGCAATTCGAATCAATGAATAACATAGAAAAATTCCCCCTTCGAAAAAAAGGTTTTTGAGAAAGAGTGGAGAGAAAAAAGAAAAAGAAAGGTTAAGAGAGTTTGTGAGTGTGAAGAAAAAATGAATGAGAGAGTTGTTTTTAATAGTATGAAGATTATAACGTAGTATTTGTTCAAAATTTTCTTAATTTATTAATAATGCACCCAAATCCTATGTACTTCACAACTTAAATCCAGAACTTCTAAGAAGATGAATTTTTCTTTTATCTCTAAAATCACTAAATGATTTCTTCGTTTTATTTTTATGATGAAAGTCGAACAATACTAAAACTCAGGTAGAAAAATTATAATAATATGTATGAAACTCAAATCGCATATAATAGTTATGATACTATAAAAATTAACATTTCATAGTCAATTAGGTCTTAATTTGATGGTGATTGATGTCATTCAAAAACATTGAATTAAAATTTCACCACGTGAGTTCAATCAATTAAACATAGATTAATTTATCATATTTTTGCCATTTTAAAATATCCTCGCTGATCTTTGTCAATATTATTTCGCAATTTTTTATCTATTGTATTACCGATATTTATTGTGAGCAATTGCTACACAGTTAATAGTTTGATGTTTGTTGATAATTAGTTAAGAATTTGTTAGATTATTAATATTTGGTTATAAATACTCAATTATTCGAATGTGTTAATCATTTATTGTAATTCATTTATCCCATTAGTAAAAAACTTATTACTCCCCATTTATTTGTTATCATTGATTACCTTTTTCTTCTTCATTAAGTACTGTGGTTTAGTAATGCTCGACTTTTGTACTGGATCATCAAGATTTCATCATGGTATCATTCGACAAACGGCCCTAACGTTGTTTTTCTTACGTTATTTGGAGTTTGCTGGCGCCATCGTGACTGCTTCCACTGCCGTTAGTCACCCTCTTATTGTTGATAATGTCTTCGCAGTCACTGCTGCAGATTACTCTCATATATCAGATTTACCGCTGTCTTGTTGTCGTGTCCATGTTATCTCCGATTGTTCCTCGAACGCCAATTTGTTGTTCATTTGTGCTGTTATGAGATCTTTTTGCTCTCTTGCTTGGCCTGTTTCTGTTCATCAAAGTTAACATTGTTTCAATTGAGCATTTACTGCGTGTAAACTGTTTGTCAAAATGCATGAATGAGCGTTTAGGTGTATACGAGATTGTGCAACAGTGTTGCTTTCTTCTTTGATGTTACACATCTTTGTTTCAAGAAGAATATGTTGATACTGTTGCGGAATATGTCTATCGAATAGAACAAAATCGCAACTGATAATATGAGAAAATAAAAATAAAGATAAATACGACACAAATTTTACGTGGAAAACCCCTAAATAATATAGGGTAAAAATTACGGACAACGGTAGAAGAATTTCACTATGAGAAAATAGGAATTACAATTTCTCTCGATCTAACAAGGAGAAAACAATGATAATTCTCTCTTGATAAAAAGGAGAAAACAACTCTCAAGAAACTCTTTAAATTCTCTAGTATTGGAAGAAAACTAGAATGTTTTGGGATGGTTTTAAAACTAAATGGGTTAGAGTATTTATAGTTGAAGCTTAAGGACTAATCTTATAAATACCCTAAAGTATAATGACTAAATTGTGATTTTACCATTGTCCAAATTCAACTAAAACCCAACTAATTTTCGTTGCCCCATTTTTAATTCATTTTTTTTTCAACATGCACCGAAAGTGCATTAAGACTTTTCAACAATCTCTCACTTGAAGATTTGATTGAAACAATCACATCTTCACACCATTTTTCTACCTTGTACCATCATGTTGCTTACGTTTCTGACAGGTCACAAGAGGATCGACACCAAGTAAATTTATAAACATTGATCGCCTTCGTCATGAAATCTGTCATATTGTCTTTTGTATGGATCTTCTGCATATCTACCGTCCCTTCTTCCACCTTTTCACGAATGAAATAATATTGAACTCGTATGTGCTTTGTCCTTGAATGAAATGTTGGATTCCTTGCTAGATGGCGCGTTGACTGTCACAAAAGAGAGAGACATACTCTTGATTGTGCCCAAGCTCCAGGGCCGTCTTGTAAATTTTGGTGGCCCTATGCCATAACAGTAAAATAGGCCTTTTAAAAATAAAATATTAGGTATATAAAGAAGTTCACTAATATTTTAAAATTTATTATAACTATAAGAAAACGTTAAATAGTAGTAAAAAATATCTTCATGTAATAATGTAGGCCTTGGACTTGAAAATTCTTGGGCCAAACATCCTAAATACACATATATACAAAAGACTTAAAAAATTTTGGAGGCCCTTACAAAAATTGGGCCCTGTGCGGTTGGGCAGCCCGCACAGTCCCAAAACCGGCCCTATCAAGCTTCTTCAATAGCATCTTCAACCAAATTGCTTATTTACTGGTTTGTGTAGCTGCTACATATTCTACCTCTGTTGTGGATGTAGCCACAACTTATTGCAATTTTGAAACCCAACTTACAGCTCCACCAGCAACTTTGAACACATATCATGTAGTAGATTTGCTTTTATCCAAATCCCTTGCATAGTCAGAATCAACATACCAATTGATAAGGAAATTTGATCCTCTGTAACATAATGCAACATTTGAGGTCCCTTTGATGTATCTCAGGATCCTCTTTACTGTATTACAATGCTCTTTGCCTGGATTTACAATGTACCGACTAACCATTCCCACAACTTGTGCAATGTCTGGTCTTGTGCATATCATAGCGAACATTAAACTTCTCACTGCCGATGCATACGGTACTCGAGACATCTCCATCCTCTCTTCTTCACTGCTAGGACTCATACTGGAGGATAATTTGAAGTTGATAGGAAGATGGGTAAAAATTGGATTACAATCTTGCATGTTGAATCTTGACAAGATCTTCTTCAAATAATTCTTTTGTAAGAGGCAAATATTCCTATTATTTCTGTCTCGGTAAATTTGCATCCATATAATCTTGTTTGCTGATCCCAAGTCCTTTATTTCAAATTCCCTAGCCAGTTGTGCCTTCAATTATTCAATATGATCTTTGTTGAGTCCTGCAAGCAACATGTCATCCACATACAACATCAATATAACAAAATCGCTATCACCAAACCTCTTGAAATAAGCACAAGGGTCTGCATTAAGTTTGTTGTATCCAAGGAACATAATGAAGGAATCAAATCTCTTATACCAACATCTTGGCACCTGCTTTAGACCGTACAGAGATTTGTTCAACATGCAAACCAAGTTCTTTTTTTCTTTTTTTTCAAAACCCTCAGGCTGAAGCATATAAATCTCTTCTTCAAGATTTCTATGAAGAAAAGTTGTTTTAACATCTAGCTGCTCTAGATGTAAGTTCAATTTAGCACACATTGCCAAAACTACTCGAACTGTTGTTAGTCGAACCATAGGAGAAAATATTTCATTAAAATCAGTACCTTTTTTTTGAGCATGTCTTTTGACCAACAGTCTTGCATGATACCTCTCCACTTGATCGTCACCATTTCGCTTGATTTTGAAAACTCATTTGTTACCAATTGGCTTCATTCCTCGTGGTAGTGGCACAAGGTCCCATGTATTATTTTTATGAAGGGCTTCAATTTCTTCTTGCATCGCCATCATCCACAGTGAAGCATCTGAGCTGTTTATTGCCTTCTAGTATGTTGATGGCTCACCGTCCTCTGTTAAAATGCATCATGCAATATTTCCTTCTATAAAATAATCTGAGTGCCAATTGGGACGTCTTCTCACATGATCTGATTGACCAGTTGTTGGAGCTTCAGAACTCTCTGGTTCTTGTTCATCATGTGTTGGTTCTGCTTCAAAATAATATCCTTGTTCAACCTCTTTTCCACATGTATATGTGTAGTCTCTGAATTTTTAGCACTATCATCGTCTTCTTTTCTTTGTAGTTTATCGTCTACAAAGATAACATCCCTGCTGATGATCACTTTGCGGATAGTGAGATCCCACAATTGATACCCCTTTACTCCATCAATATACCCCAAGAATTTGCATTTCCTGGATTTTGGATCCAACTTTGAAATTTATTGGGAGTTGTACATCACTTACACGATACTTCCAAATACATAGAGGTTTGAATAATCAAATGGTTTACCAGTCCACATCTCCATTGGTGTCTTCAGCTCTATTGCAGTTGATGGAGCTCGATTCACCAAATAACAGGCGGTATTGACTGCTTCTACCCAGAATGATTTTTCTAGGCATGCATCTCTCAATATTGCTCTTGTTCTTTCTAACAAGGTTCTGTTCATCTGCTCTGACACTCCATTTTGTTGAGGAGTGTTCGCCACTGGGAACTATCTTTTGATGCATTCTTTCCTACAAAAGTCATCAAATTCTTTACTTGTATATTCTCCTCCATTATATGTTCTAAAACACTTGATATTATTTCCAGAATCAAGTTCCACCAGCGCTTTGAAGTTTTTGAAAGTTGAAAACATGTATGACTTCTTCTTAATAGAGTACACCCAATATCTCCTAGAGTAGTCATCAATAAATGAGACAAAGTATTTTGCTCCGCCTAGGGATGTAACTGGTGCTTGCCATATATTAGAATGAACCAATTCTAGAACACTTTTGCCTCTAGAATTTGACTTGTTGAATTTCAATCGGTACTGCTTACTTGTTATGCAATGCTCACACAAAGTAAGTGATACCTTTGTTAAGCTTGGAAGTAGCTTTTTCTCTACAAGGACTTTTATTCCTTGTTCTGACATGTGTCCAAGTTTCTGATGTCATAGCATTGTAGAATCTGAACTACATGAGGCAACAGAGGCTTCTGCTTCTAGCAAAGTCTCTCCTTTCAGCATGTACAAGTTTGTTGCTATCTTTTCGCCTTTCATCACCACAAGCGCAACACAGAACACCTTCATGATTCCTTTCCGTGTTTCAATCTTGCTTGCATTATTATCCAACAATCCGTAGGATAATAAAATTTTCTTCAGGCCTTTCACGTGTCGCACATCTTGAACAACTTTAATTGTTTCATCATACATATTCAATTTGATGGTTCCCACGCCAACGATCTCTAAGGCATGATCATTGCAACTATACACAGATCCTCCTGAGAAAGGTTCATAATGATGAAACTATTATCTTCTTGAGGTCATGTGATATGTTGCTCTCGAATCAATGAGCCATATATCTGTAAATCTTTTTCTACCTTTCACGGTGGTTGACGCTTCACAACACAGATCATCTTCATCATCTGAAGTGTTTGCGGTATTGCCTTGTGGATTGAAGTTTTTATTTAGACTCCAACAATCCTTCTTCAAGTGACCCTTCTTTCCACAGTTGTAGCACTTTAAATTCTTCTTGCTTCTTGACTTTGATCTACCATGTTTGTGACTGCTGCTTTGGCCACGTTCCGTTGATCTCCCTCTCATCGTTGTCAACGATTCTGCTTGTTGCAGATTTACTTGTCTTTCTTCCTTGTTCTTGCACCGATTTTCTTCTTGTAGAACAACAGTTGCAACGTCATCGAAGACTATACTGGTGACATTACTGTTTGTCAAGTTGATGATGAGTTGATTATACGAATCAGGTAGACTTTGAAGTAGAAGTTCAACCCATTCTTGTTCTCCTATTATACATCTTACGGATGTAAGCTAAGAAAATAAAGTGTTCAGTGTGTTTAAATGCTCCGTCACTGAAGTAGATTCTGGCATCCGGAGAGTGTACAATTTCCTCTTAAGGAAAATTTTATTGTGCAACGATGTGGCCTCATACAATTTGGTGAGATGATCCCATATCTCCTTAGCTGTCTTCTTCTCCTCGATGCTTGAAAATACTTCATCTGCTAATGCTAGATGAAAGTTTGCCATAGCATTCCCCTCTATTTCGATCCATTTGTTGTCATTTGTGAAATCTACAAGCCTTTCACTTATTGCTGCTAGACAACCGTCTTTCCTCATGATGACCTTCATCTTCAATTTCCACAATGAGAAATTTCTCCCATTGAACTTTTCAATATCAAATTTCGTTGCCATAGCTTCTATTACGGATAGCTCCCACTATTTCAATATCGTGAATAGTTCTCTGGAACCTTTAAAGAATGGGTAATACCTTCTTACTTTCTTATGTTGGAGGATCCACCTTTTAGTGGCAACCACAAAGATAATAAGTAGATATTACACACTCTAATCTGGCTCTGATGCCAATTATTATGGAATACGACTATCGGATAGAGCAAAATCGTAACTGATAATTTGAGAAAATAAAAATGAAGATAAAGAAGACACAAATTTTACGTGGAAAACCCCTAAATAATATAGGGTAAAAACCATGGGCACCGGTAGAAGAATTTCACTATGAGAAAATAGGAATTACAACTTCTCTCGATCTAACAAGGCGAAAACAATGATAATTCTATCTTGATGAAAAGGAGAAAATAACTTTCAAGAAACTCTCTAAATTCTCTAGTATTGAGAGAAAGCTAGAATGCTTTGGGATGGTTTTGAAGTTAAATGGGTTAGGGTATTTATAGTTGAAGCTTAAGAACTAATCTTGTAAATACCCTAAAGCACAATGACTAAATTGTGATTTTACCATTGTCCAAATTCAACTAAAACCCAACTAATTTTTTGGTGCCCCATTTTTAATTCATTTTTTTTCAACATGCACCGAAAGTGCATTAAGACTTTTCAACAGATACTGTTAGTAGATTAATGTTAGATTAGTCTGTTGTTTGTGGTTCGATTGTTGAGCCATTGATATGGTGATTCTCTTCAAATTGGATCTGTTCTCATCAGTTGTACGTGTTTGTTTTCAGTTTCTGGTAAGGGATCTGGATTACTCCACATTACTCTATGGTTCTTCATTTTGTTGAATCATGGTATAGTTTACTGGAAGTTGTTTTTATCATGAGAGTTGTTCTTAGTTTACTCTTTGTTAGTTTAATTCAGTTGCTTCAATCTTCTTAAATGACTTGTTTTTGTTGGATGTTGTTGTTGGCTTGATGCTAAGTTGGTTATTGAGTGCTTGATACACATGAATTGAGTTATTGGTTTTTGGAAACATAATTGTGTTGTTTTCAAGGGAAAAACAATTTTGATTCAACAAGGAGTTTCCAGATGAAAGAAGAAAAAAAGGTGAATAAAGTAGAATAGAAGGAAGTGTCACACTTTTGATTCTCGTTTAAAGTAGAACGAACTGAAACATTGTACTTTCGATTCTCGATGATAGGATGGTAAATGAAGAGAATACATTTTTTTTCAATATCAAGAACCAACTTAAGTTCTCATGTTTACCTCAACAAGGTCGAAGAAGTAGGGTAAATGTTAGACAGTTAATAGTTTGATGATAGTTGGCAATTAATTAAGAATTTGTTAGATTTGTTAATATTATATTATAAATACACAATCATTGTAATGTGTTGATCATCTATTGTAATTCATTTCTACAGTTAATAAAAAAATTATTATTCTCTATTTATTTGTTATCATCGGTTGCCTTTTTTAGGGGTAAACAAAACTCGACTCACCTGAAAAATTGATTTTTGATTCCATTCGACTCGAGAAAATTTGACTCGAATTAACTTTGAGTTTTAATTTCATAAACTCGACTCGACTAAAAAAATTTCAAGTTCAAATCGAGTTGTAAAATACAAATCGAATAGTAACTCAAAATTTTTAGTAATTAGTGGATTGGTTTTTAAGTTTGAGTCGAGTCCCTCGACTCTGTATGATATATGTATATAGCATATGAAAAAATATAAGAGAATATATATGTATTGTTTATATTTATTATTAACAGGGGTTGGTTCAAGTGGTAAGCAATTTGATATCACTTAAACAATATCTCAGACTCGAGTCCTTGTGTGAAATCTTGCATTGTTGATAAAATAGAATTTAGAGAGCACGAGAGTTTTATAGAATAGTGAAGCTAAAACAAAAGAGTTCATTCATTTTGAGAATAGGGATGACCCTCTTATATAACAGTCATTTCACTCATAAAACGTGAGCTCATGCAAGAACCCTAACAGCGAAAATAACAGCGCAGCAGATTCCTCCACAACTCAATGCCAGTTCAATTCCTCTAAACAATAATTACTTTTCCGTTACCGGCGATCTAACAAGATCTTCATATCTAAAACTGAGCTATCTAACTTTGAGACATCTTTTAATTATGGGATATAGATTTGTTAATGGATTAGGTGATGATGAACGGACTAAGTTAGTAAAGTGACAAGCTAAAAAAATAGAAAAAAAGGTTAAAAAATGAGAACGAGACAAACACACTCCATTATTAGGAAAAAAAAGATATAAAAAAATAATAAACACGTTTAAGTTTCATGTATTGGGTTTGGATTAAAAACTCTTTAAAAAATGGCAATGAAAGAATATACAGAGAAATAAATAAATAAATAAACAAGGTAAAGATTACATTGTACAAATTTTCACTGTCACTACAAAAAATTTCTATTATTGTGTAAATTTAATTTTGTCAAAATTATTTTTTTCACTACTAATAATTTTTTGTGAGAAAATAAATAAGCATCACATAAAATAAGAAAAATATATATAATTGTGAAAAAACTAAAATCGTTGTAATATTTTTTTTCATAATTAGTAAACTTGTGTAGCATATGGTGACAAAATATATTTTGTTACTATTTTTTGTCACAAATATTTTCCTCCATTTTTTGGCGCAGAAAAATATGACATATAGTGACAAATTTTGTGACTATAAGTTTTAGTAATTATGACAAGAAAAAATTATCACAAAAAATAATGAGATTCGCAAATCAGTTTCAAGATTCGCAACGCGATTCTGACTATCGCATTGCGATTTTTCAAATTCGCGTTGTGATTTTCCGACTATCGCAATGCGAGTATGACTATCGCAATGCGAGTATGACTATCGCAATGCGAGTATGACTTTCGCAACGCGAATATGTAAATCGCAACGCGAACTTCGACTATCGCAACGAATTTGGAAAATCGCAACGCGAACTTCGACTATCGCAACGAATTTGGAATAAATCGCAACGCGAACTTCGACTATCGCAACACTTGGACTATCGCAATGCGAATATGTAAATCGCAATGCGATAGTCGAAGTTCGCGTTGCGAATCTGGAAACTGATTTGCGATACCGGAGATCGCGTTGCGAATTATCGATCGCATTGCGATTTAGTTGGTCATTTTGGCAAATACAAAAAAAGTTGATTAAAATAGTATATTATAAGGCATTTTTGGTCAGTGAGGTTATTTTCTCATAAAATAATCACTACAAATTAAATCAAATTTTGTTTTTATTTCTTTTTAATTATTTTTTTGATAGAAAGGTATTTCTATCTA